TCCCTGGTCACTGCCTATACTCCTACTCTCACTGGCTCCTCAGAAGTACACTTTAACAAATTAATACACCTCTAGAACCAGAAATGAGAAAAATAATCTCAAAAGTTCATTCTTCATTGACTCAGTGTAAATATTTTGAAAACCATATACAAGAGTGGCAATTCACCAACAGTAATAGTTAAGTACTTTATGGAGCTTTATTTTCTGCATTTGTATCATACTTCAAACTTAGTATAGTACTAAATTCAAACTCCAGTCTAACCAACTTACAAACATTTCTTAAAGATCTACTAGATTCTAGGCACTGTGCTGGACATGTTCTAGGCAAGCTAGAACAACGACCTAAAAAAAAAAAAAAAGATTATAATAATCCTCATGGTCTCTATCTTCAGGAAGCTCAAGTTCAGACTGGAAAATAAGTACACAATTATGGCACAGTGTGCAAAGTGTGGCAAAAAGTGTTGTGTAAACACAGAGAAGGAGCAACTAATCAACCTAGAACTGTCAGAAAGGATTCAAAAAGAGTTTCTCATGGATGATATTTGAGTTAAGTCTTGGAAAATGGTTAGGAATTTGCCAGTCAGTGAAAGGGATCAGGAAAAGGCATGACAGGCTGAAAGAAAACCCCTGCAAAGAGCATAAACCATGAAGACAACACAGAGAGTTTAGTGAATTCCAATAATTGGATATGGTTGAGGAGTACATAACAGAGGGCGTGTGGGGGGTGAGGAGGTGGGTGGGAGAGGGGAGGAGCAGTTATACAGAAATAGGCAGGGACCAGCAAACATAAAAGAATCTTTGATGTCATGTTAAATAGTTTAGATGGGTATGGCAGGAACTACTACTTATGCTCCAACATCTATTCTTCCCTCCTAACCTAGAAACAGAACTCAGGTTTAGCTAAGCACATGGTTACCAAGAATACAGACTACGTTTCTGTCACTCTTGGCTGCTAAGGGGCCATATATCTAAGTTTGTGGCAATATGATGTAAGCAGAATTGTAGTACACAACTTTTAAGAAGTTTCCTTAAAGAAAGGAAAGACTTTTTTCTACATCTTTCTATATTTAGGCTGGCCAGAAGGCAGAAGTAATGGTTGGAGCCTGAGTGTGCCCATCTTGGAACAAAAGAGAGAAATCACATTCTAAGTATAATACTAAGAAGAGATCTGCACCCTTGATAAGGTTGTGAAGCCACTCTACTAGATCAGGTTGCCTACTTCCAGACTTCTATGAGAAAAATAAATTCCCATCACAGAAAAACTACTATCATTTTCAGTCTTCTCTCACTCACAGCAGAACTTAATTCCAATTGACCAATAGGAAACCACAGAAGAATATTAGGTAGAAGAGAGGCAAGATCACAAATTAAAGAATTAGGTTAGGAACAGGAAGACCATTTAAGGAAGGTATTTTGGAAATCTTGGTGAAAATTCTCCATACTGGCCACTGGATCAAACTGGCATTATCTGAGAGCTTGTCAATCCTATTCTCATATTCATCACTGTCTCTCTCACTAGGTTAACAGATAGCTCAAATGAGATAATGTACATAAACATGCTTTGGAAATTAGAAAAGAACTATTATAAATGTAATACACTGATGTTATGCACAACTAGAAAACATTTTAATTCTGATCTCTTGTCCAAAATAATCTAAAAGTCATTAAAAGGAAGAAACTTCCATTTTATAGCCAAACAGACAGAACGAAAACTTTAAGTTTTCAACTACAAGAGGAAACTGGCCTGGTTGAAGTCATGTAGATGAAAAGGAAAAGAACCTGTCTTCACATTCATTCATTAGCAACAGCATGAATCTCAAAATAGCTTTTTACTGAATCTAATTATATTTAGATTGAGATGATCTTCTCTACATGCCTCAAACCATTCTCAAGTGCCACCCATCATCTCAGTGCCACGGTGAAGTATGGCACTACCTTAGCAACAAAGTGAAGTTGGTATGAGACAAAAGAAGATTCTTCACATTAATTATTTTCTCAAAGCACTCTGAAGTTAGTCTCTATTATTACATATAATCATATTAATACAGCAATTATCACAATATGCATTTCTTGAGAGCAGTACCCTGTATCCTGGTATCCGGTCTGAAGCCAAGATATATTAATTTTTTAAAATTCAGCTCTTGAGGACAAAAACACACCATAATAAAATTTTAAGATATGATTGTAACATATCACTTCGCTATACAAGATTATTTTGTAACCTTCAATTATCTTAATATAAATTTCAATATAAAGACATGTATTCTTTGAATACTTACTTTCAACAAAATATCCACAATTCGCTGTTGATATTCCACAGCTTGCTTATCATTTTTAAAATCTTCAAAAGTCTAAAAGGGAGAAAGAAATTTTAAAAAGTAATTACCAATTGCACATTTTAAAAGGAAACAAGTTATTGAATTCTTGGTAATAAAATCCGAGTAAATTCCCAAATAAGTTAACTATTCCTCATTAGGTTTTTTCTTTTTTTTTAGATACAGGGTCTTGCTCTGTCAGCCAGGCTGGAGTGCAGAGGCGAAATCATAGCTTACCGTTAAACTCCTGAGCTCAAGTGATCCTCCCACCCCAGCCTCCAGAACAGCCAGAACTACAGGTGTGCGACACCATGATTGGCAATTTTTAAATTTTTTAAAGAGACAGGGTCTCCCTATGTTGCCCAGGCTGGTCTCAAACTCCTGAGCTCAAGCGATCCTCCCACCTCAGACTCCCAAAGTGCTGGGATTACAGGTATGAGCTACTGCGCCCAGCTGAGGTTTTTTTCCTATACACCTTTAATGATAAGTTATTTTTAGTGAATCAAGTAGAGAGCTATAGCATTTAATACTACATGGTACTCCAAGACTTTAGCAAATCAATAAGTATTAAAATTTCAGAAGGAAAAGGCAGGCAATATCCAGAGGCAAAGAAAAAGAGAACACTAGCGGCAAAAGGAAATTTCGGAGCAAAGGTTTGAGAAAAGAAGGATGAAATACCACATGCTTAGCCATCATTCAGTCTATGTCATTTGGAAATAACTAAGACATAATTCATTAACTGTCATGAAAAATAATTTTCATATTTTCCATGACAATTAAGAAAAAAAATGATGTCCAAAGATAGGCATTTTAAAAAAGTATTACGGTAAAACTGTTGAAATGTTAAAATTCTTAAGCCTACTTACAAGGAATATTAATAGACATCCTATTCTCCAAACACTGTCAAGTATAGTACTTTTTATTTTATGTCCCTGCACAAGTAGAGCCAAATATATTTTGAATATAACATGCATCAAAACAAACGACAACACCAGATTCTGTTTGGCAGTATATGATAACAGGATGTCACAAAAATATAATACCTATCACATATAGGATGCATATATGAAGAAACTGAAATTATATCCACTATGAAAAAATTGAAAAAAATATTTACTGAATGATGGAAGATATGAAGATCTTTCCTGTGTTTTCACTTAGCACACTTGGTTCTGAGAAATGTTTAAATCCACATAGCAATAATTGATTGCTATTTTCTTGAAACAAGAAAATGGACTACATATTGTCCCAATAGATTAAAAATAAAAGGGAATTTCACAACCATGAATTTTCAAGACTACATCATAGTTCTGTTCAAACCAGAGTAACTGCTGTTCTTTAAATGGGCCCTAAATTTCCCCCAATTTCTCCAAAGTACCTTTGTTCATGCTGTTCTCTTACTAGCATGCCCTTCCCTTCCTTCTCCTGTCGGGCTTAACAAATGACTGCTGCATTGTCTAGTTAATCTTTTACGGTGAAAAGTAAAATATTTTTAACTTTTTTTTCAACTAGTCTGCTTTGCTGCCAGTTAGTTCAGAAATGCTGAAAAGAGTTACCAAGGAGACTGTAGGAACTCTTAATCTGGAAGGCTCAAACAGAAGGTATTTTGATGTTTATGTGGGTTAAATATGACCCTGCCTAAAGATGGGAAGATGGACTAGAAAGTCTCACAGTTCTATCTTCTGATTATGAGCACGCACGCACGCATACACACACACACACACACACACACACACACACACCCCCATCCCTGTCTGTTAAAGTGAGATGTCATTCTGCAGGTACAAATAGAAGGTACTATCTGCTAATACAAGTGCTGTTCACTAAAATACAAAACCATGGAGAATTAACATATGTATTTAAAAACTACAGCAGTGACAGCAAGTCAAAAACAATTTCCTTAACAATCTTCCTTTTGACAGCATGAAGTCACTGCTTTGAAGCACATATTAAAAGTTTGTTTCTGTAAACATAATTACGTGGTGACATACTACAGTGTGGATATTATGATACAGTTAATGACATATTCTGACAGTAGTTAACAACCGCCACCAAAATGGCACATCATTGTTAGAACATTATCATTTCACAAAGATGCTTTTAGAATGCTTGTTAGAAGAATAATATGCAAAGATGCCCTAATGGAGAATTACAGTTTGTAAAGTACAAAGATAGACCTAAAACTCAAGTTCAAAGTTATGTGTGAATTTGGGCATAAAGACTTCTGTAGTACCTTAAGAATTATGGGGTTTCTGTATGATAATGATAGCAAGCTATATGCTAATCCAGGGGTCAAAAAACATTCTCTGTAAAGAGCCAGACAGTAAATATTTCAGGCTTTGTGGGCTACATGTGATCTCTATCACATATTCTTCCTTTTCAGGAGGCTGATTTGCCTCCTAAAATATCATTCAAATCCTTTCACATCTTGGTATCCCTACTGTTACTGACCTAATTCAAGCCACCATCTACCTAGATTACTACAACAATTTGCTAACAGATGTGCTTGCCTCCAGTCTTACCTCATTTTAATCCATTTGCGTCCCCCAAGATTCATGCTGAAAACCTAGTCACCAAAGTGATGGTATTAAGTGAGGCCTTCGGAAGGTGATTAGATCATGAGGGTAGAGCCCTCGTGAATGAGATCAGTGCCCTTATAAAAGAGGCCCCAGGTAGATCCTTTGCCCATTCCTGCCACGTGAGGACACAGTGAGAAAGTGCTATTCTGTGAACCAGGAAGTGGGCCCTCAGCAGACAGGACTCTGCCAGTGCTTTGATCTTGGACCTCCCAGTCTCAAGAACTGTGAGAAATAAATTTCTGTTGTTTATGAGCCACCCAGTCTATGATATTTTGTTATAGCAGACCAAATCAACTAAGACACAAGAGTCAGAGACAATCTTTTAAAAGTACAGATCATGGTATTTCTCTTCCTAAAAGGCTTCAATGGCTACCTACTGCTGTAGTATAAAGTCCAAATTTCTTACTACAGATTGCAGGACTCTGTGTTTGCCTACCTCTCTGTATTTGTTTCTCTTTGCACTTTTCCTTACACTTAAAGATGCAGCCATACTGATTTTTTTTCAATTATTTGAATACACATTTCTCTGTCTCATTTCCAGGCCTTTTTACATATTCTGCCCTTCTGCCTACAATATTTTTCCCTACCCTTCACCTAACTAACTTCTACTCATTCTTTGAGACTCAGAATGGAGTCATTTCATGAAAGAACCCTTCCTTAACCCCCCAATTAGGTGTCCCTCATAGGTGCTCCTATACCACCCTGCAATTCCCCTAAGGCGTGTACTGTGCTATAATTACTTATCTACAAGTCTGAATCCTCTTTCTCCACAAGGGCAGGGTTTCTATCCTGTCAGCCCCCAATTAGGATAGTACGTGGGACAGACTGTACACTCACATGTTTGTCAAGCAAATGAAAGAGAGATTATTTTGCAGCCTTACTATAAATCCCGATACCATAATTCAGATATCAGCATAATTCCAAATGTGGTTTAGTGCTACCAGTGCCCTCAAAAATGTGAAAATTACATAGAATTCTTTGTTTTCTCTACCACTCTTTCCAAACCCCTGCCCTATCATGTCCTGTTTGTTTTTTTTTTTCCTACTTGCCAGCCACCAAGTACGCTTATGTTCTCCTCTAGACATCTAAGGTTTCCTAAGACAACTAGATCTAATTTCCAGTTGTAAGTTTCTTTTCCCTTCATCCTATGAAATTAAAGTTAATACTTCTGAGGTCAGATTTTCAAATTAAACTAATTCAAACTATAACCTTCTCATGAGTACTTACATTTTAAAAATAATTTAAAAGTTTATTACTCTACTTTTACAAAAGTAGTATACACTCATTCGTTAGGGAAATTTGCTCCATCTCAGAGTTAATCACTATTAATATTTAGGTATATTTCCATCCTGTCTTTTCTTTCCAAAAACCACACACATATATATATATATATATAAAATGACTGTGTTGTACATATTTGTGAGCCTGCTGCTTTTACCAAACACTATAATATAAGCATTTTCCATATTATCAAAAGCTTTTAAAAAACCAACTAAAATACTATTTTTTTCCATTGGGAAGATACATCATCCTTTTTTTTCTTTTATTTTTGAGACAGAGTCTTGCTCTGTCACCTGGGTTAAAGTGCCGTGGTGTCAGCCTAGCTCACAGCAACCTGAAATTCCTGGGCTCAAGCAATTCTCCTGCCTCGGCCTCCTAAGTAGCCGGGATTACAGGCGCATGTCACCCTGCTCAGCTAATTTTTCCATTTTTAGTAGAGATGGGGTCTCGCTCTTGCTCAGGCTAGTCTTGAACTCCTGACCTCAAGCGATCCTCCCGCCTTGGCCTCCCAGAGTGCTAGGATTACAGGTGTGAGCCACTGTGCCTGGCCGATACATCACGTTTTATATAACTATTCCCTTAGGGGCATCCTCACAGATAACCTGATCACCCAAATTCATCTCTAATTAAACATATATCAGAGTGTTTTTTCAGCAAAAAGCTTCCATGTTTGACTTCAACTCCAGTTATTTCCACTATCATCACTACCACATCTCCTTTAGGGCCTTCTTCCATATTTAGTATGCCAAGTAATATAATTTATGAAATCAGAGATGCACCCTGCTTGCTTTAACTTTTTGATGGGGGGAGTGCTGGAGGAAAGAAGGGAGATAAAGAACTAGAGAGAAAATATGGGTAGCACAACAAAAATAAACATTTGAAACCATGACTTACTGCTAGGGCGTAACAATTGTACCTGCACAAGGATTATTATTTTTCTTTCCTGTATTAAAAAAAAAAAATTATAGGCCAGGCGCGGTGGCT